ATTCTGTAGTGACAGAAAATGTTTTCTGAGGAAAGATGTATGGTAAAGAGGTGAAGATTTTATTCTTTTGACCACTGAGATAACTCCTCTAAGGTAATTACTTAAGAAGGTACACTGAAAGTATAAATTTTTTTAGGACTCTTGGCTCAGCCATGTGGTATAGTTCATAGCTACTGGACTGCAATGCTAGAGGCCAAAAAGCCAACCATAGTTTGGATCCTGAGTAATAAGACCCTATCAAGGGTTTTCTCTCTCTCTCTAATATATATATGCTCTCTATAATAAAAAATAAATAAATAGGGGCTGACAGGTGGTATAGTGGTTAAAAGTGCTGAATTCCCACATGGCCAACTGTGGTTCAAGTCCTGGACCTGGCAGCTTGCTTTCTCACTCCCTCCCCACTTCTTGCTCTGTCCCTCTCTGGTCAAATTAAAATAAATAAATAAAGTAAAATAAAATAATTCTTAAAAAATAAGTAAATAAAGGGTTAGCAGATGGTGTGATGGTTAAGGTGCTGGACTCACACATGGCCGACCATGGTTTGAGTCCTAGACATGGCAGCTTGCTTTCTCACATTCCTCTCCGTCTCTCTCTCTCAATCTGATCAAATTTTTAAAAATTAATAATGATGAATAAAATTAAAAATAAATAAATAAAAATAGGGGCTGGCAGGTAGTGTAGTGGTTAAAGGTGCTGGACTCTCACATGGCCGACCACAGTTTGAGTCCTGAATCTGGTGGCTTGCTTTCTCACTTTCTCTCTCTCTGTCCCTCTCTGGTTTAGTTAAAATAAATAATTTAAATAGATTAAATTAAAATAAATAAATGTTAAAAAAGAAAAAGAAAGAGAAACCTCTTAACAGGCATTTTTGAACATTCCAAACTTTGAAATTTGGAGGCGGTTCAAGGAAATACAACCTAAAATACAAGAAGCGAGGAGGTTTCAACAGACTTCTAAGCTACGTATAGACCCAAAAATGGATAAACGGGTGATTTAATAAACACTTGGGTAGTGTAGAGGTTAAGTGATGTACAAAGGAAAAAATATCCCAATCCCAATGGCTGACCAGGATTTGAGTCCCAGCAGCTTGAAGAACATGCTGGACACATGTGTACATGCCCAGGATTGTGATGGAATAGAGTGTTAGAGGGAAAGAAATTACATTATGACCAAGCCCCAATGAGGGGCTCGCTCTCTCTCTCTCTCATGTACACAAAAAGAAAGGAAAGAAAGAAAGAAAGTAGAGATTAACTAAAATATTAAGTTCTACAAAGTGAAAAATGCAATAGGTGGGGCAACCTTATTTTATCTTGGTTTTATCTTCTAACTTTTGTCTCGAAATGGAATGTTAAATATGGAGAGTCAATGAGTTAGATTTCTGTCTGACTCTTCTAATGGATAAAACCCATGTTAGTGTATGTGTAGGGGGATGTTGTTCAGTCCTATTAGGGACACAATCCAAATTAGTGGAGACAGGAATTATTTATTGGCTCAAACTGGGAATGTACTCAGAGTGAGTTTATTAAGATTTGGGTCATCTGGAAGTAATAATACAAGCTTAAACTGGGATGTATTAAGAAAACAAAGTTGCTAGAGACTTGGAAAAAGAGACGCAGTTTTTCAGAAACTTCAGAACCTGAGAAGAGTTGGCAACTGAGTGAAATTTCAAGTAATTTTTAAAATTATAACCTTGTAAACAATTTACATGGAATTAGGTGTTTTCAGTTCACTTAGTTCACTTGTACTTAATAGAAAATGTGGTTTTAAAAGTGAAGAACGAGGGACCAGCAGATGGCATAGTTACATCGCTTGACTCTTACATAATTGATCGTGGTTCGAATCCTAGACCTAAAGGCTTAAAACTCACACCAGGCGCATATGCCTGTGTGCCCAAAATTCCAAGAGGAGAATGGAAGAGTAAGGGATTACAATATGGCCATCTGCCCTGAGATGTGATTTATTAGTTTCTGTCTCTTTGACCAGTGCACACACCCTAGAGCAAAAATCTAAAAAAAAAAAAAAAAAAAATTTAATTGAAGATCAAAACAAAACACTTAGACCACTTGAACCCATCTATGACACCGTGAATGTGGGATCTTAAAAACACTGCAGATTCAATAATATAAGATAACCTGAGCCATAGAGTGAAGAGACAAGATTACGAAAATGAAACACTTAAAAATGTCATTGAAGACAGAGTATGTTAAC